CTGCAGCGTCACTTGACACACCCCTGATGTGTTTATATTTTAAGAACAATAATATTTTTTAAATGACACCCCTCTACCTCCTCTAGGAAATACCAATAGGAAGAAAATTACATCCAAGAGAAACCCACAAGTCAAGATCTGTGAGAGGGAGATGCCTGATGGATGAGTTTACTTACTTGTTAGCTTTGCTGTCTTGAAAATCCAAAGTGGTGTATCCATTGTATCCAAGAAATTTTATTGCATCGTATAATGAAAGTTTGGAGGTAGATAACCTCAGAATGTTTTGACCCATAAAGCTGTTATGACCCACCTCGGAAACCCTGTACAGGGTGGCTATGAGGCATAACTGACTCAACAGCACTTAACAACAACAAACCCTCAGACTGTTTTGACTCACAAAGTTATCTTTTAGATACAGGTTCCTTCTGTCTTTTTGCGAATCTTAATGTATGACCTCCTCTCAAGTTCCCCCACGGTCCAAAGTAACTGCTGAAGCGCCTGCCTTCACATTCACATCCCAGGCAGCAGGAAGGATGAAGGGGAGAAATGCAAAAAATGGATTTAATCTGTTAGATCTCTCTCGAATAGATTTTCTCCAAGTCTCATGCAACATCCTTTGCTTCAATAGTATTTTACCAGAACATGATCATGTGACTGTAACAGGTATAACAGAGGCAGGGAATGTAATCTTACAGGCACATTTCCACATGCAAAAACAGAGGGCCTTTGTCAATAAGGAGGGGGAAAAGTGGCTACACTTTATTGCTTTCTGTCTGTCCTGTCCCCATCCCATTTAATCACTCACTCATTATGTACTGAGCTAGGTAGTCTGAGAGGTGAAGATAAACAAAACACTCTCTTTACCTTCGAGTAGTTAACAGCTTGGTGTGGAGACAGGCTCATCAGGGACAATTATAAAACTGTGCAAATCCTGTAATAGAGTTATTCATGGGGGTGTCTAAGCTGGAAAGGGTTTGTATTTCTTGGGGACCAGGAAGGGCCACATCAATCTGGTGAAGGCAGAGGTGAATTGAAATTTTTTTTCCTTGCATACCAAGCCGATTTTATAATTTAATGATTATCTCTACTTTGAACAATTTTCAAAGTTCTTCTACATGAAATAGACATAGCAGGCATAATTGTCATCCCCGTTTTATAGATGAGAAAACTGAGACTCTAAAGGTTAAGAAGTGACTCAGAGAAGTAGTTGGTGGCAGATCTGAGACCAGAAGCTCCCTTTGGCTACTTGTTTCAGTGATCTTTTTAATTGTTTAAGTTGTTATAAAGATGCACTCGCATACGTGAGAGTAAATAAAAAAATATTACTACCAAATCATAGAAACTCTTATTAAACAAAAACATTAGATCAGAATGTGAAACTCTTGTTTGTTGGCACATGCTCCATCTCTGTCTATACACTCCTGCTCCTCGGAAACCCTATATGGGGTCGTTGTGAGTCAGGGCCGACTTGAGGGCTAACTTAGCAACAGTAATCCTTCCAGAAGAATTCTACGCTATTTGATTCATACCACGTCACAAGGACAGTTTTGGGATTCTCAAGCCAACAAAAAGAAGTCTGAAGGGGCAAGATCAAAGCTCTACGGTAATGTTTCCCAAAAAACTCCTTATAGGATGGATGACCTTGCTACCCACAAAGTACTCTTGGTTGATGGTTATGTGCCATGGAGTCGGTTCTGACTTACAGTGACCCTGTGCAGGGTTTCCGAGGCTGTAACTCTTTACAGGAGCAGAAAGTCTCATCTTTCTCTGGTGGAACAGCTGGTAGTTTCGAACTACTGACCTTGAGGTTAGCAGCCCAATTTGTAACCACTACTCACCCAGAGCTCCTTCCCTTGAAGTGCAAGCAAGTGTATTGTCATGATGGAAAAAAAAAAAATCGTCACAACTTTTCTGGCCTTTTAGTTGACCAATGTGGTTTTCAGTTTTCTTCAAACTTCTTCCTAATAAGCCCTTGTGATTGTCCTGTGCTCTTCAAGAAAATCTATTAAGATGACCCCTTTGGAATCCCCAAAATCTGTCTTCTTAGCCTTCTGAGCTGACTTTTATGCTTTGAATTTAACAGGCTTAGCTCTGGTAGCTTAGTGGTTATGAGTTGGGCTGTGAACCTCAAGGTCAGCTGGTTCGAAACTACCAGCTGTTCCACCAAAGAAAGATGAGACTTTCTGCTCCTGTAAAGATTTACAGCCTCAGAAACCCTACACAGGGTCTCTATGGGTCGGAATTGACTCAGCAGCACTTAGCAACAACAACAATGACAATATGTGTTATTGCAAAAGAGGTCATGCACTTGTTGGTGTGAAGGTTTCCCCCTAAATCTGTAGACTAGGAAAAGTGCCTAGTGTTCATGGGCTTAAGAAGAACACAAGGATGCTTGGGGTTGGCAAGCTTTGAGACCCAGAGACAGCTGTGTCTAAAGCCTGGGTCTCCCCCTGGCACTGTCATTGGTCCCTAGACTGCTTCCTGGTTAAAGACAAAAAGATTGAGCTGTGAGCAAGAATCCGTGTGAGGAGCAGCTGAGACGGTTCCTGAGGTTATGTCGGAAGCAGGAGCCATCGTGTGAGGACAGGGCCTTCGTTGCCGCCCTGAGTTGGAATTGAAACATTCCTGAGCCCAATTGCGTCATGAAACATTTGATTTTGCTGCAGATGATTAGGAACTCACTGAATGAATTTTAAATGTGATAAAATTAGACTCACAACAGCATCCTAGATTCTTGGCTTATTTCATGTAATTAAATTAATTATAACATTATGCTAAAGCCAGGCTTAATAACCACCGTCTTAAAGTCTACTTAAAACTGAACCCTGCTGATCCCATGACCCCCGGTACCCAGTGTCCTTATGGGAAGCTGCATGGCGCAGTGGTTAGGACCTTGGGCTTTAGATGAGAGTGACCACCTGGACTTGATTCTCAGCATCTTGTCTACAAATGACGATGTTGTTGTTAAGTGCCTTCGGGTCAGTTCTGATCAATAGTGACCCTGTATTGGGTTTCTGAGGAGCAGCTAGTGAGTTTGAACCATCAACCTTGTGGTTGAAAGTGACTTTGCAGTTCATCATATTAACCCCAGATGGTGATAATAGTACCATTATGGGTGCAGTTTCAGGGTGGCACAAATGTTTAATCTTAAATATTTTACTACCAATTAAAAGACTGTTGGATCCAACACACCCAGAGGTCCCTTGGAAGAAAGTCCTGGCAATCTTCTAAAAGGTCTTGGAAAGCCTGTGCAGCTCACTCCTACTGTGGCACATGTGGAGTCTCCATGAGTCAGAATCAACTTGACAGTTATACTTCTTTTGCTTATAGGGTTGGGGAGATAATTAAATGAATTAATATATGAAAAGTACTTAGACTAGGGCCTGGTACTTTTTTTTATGGTGTGGTGTTGTAGGGTCAGCACTGGACTGTGAACCACAAGGTTAGCAGTTCAAACTTACCAGCTGCTCCTCAGAAACCTCATACAGGCTCACTGTGGGTCGGAATCGACTCGATGGCACTTAACAACAACAGCTTGTTTAATCAATACCTATTTGTTCTGCTAGAAGAACAAGCAAGGATGTCTTGGAAGAAGTATAAACAGAATTCTCCTTAGAACCAGAATGGCAAGACTTTGTCTCTCCTACTTTGGACATGTTATCAGAAGGGACCGATTCCTGGAAAACAACATCAAGTGGAGGGTCAGTGAAAAAGAGGAAGACCCCTAAGAAGATTAACTGGCACAGCGCTGGCAGTGATGGACTCAAACGTAACACCAGTTGTGAGGATGGTGCAGGGCTCAGCAGTGTTGCACAGTCGGAATGAGTCGGAACCAACTCGACAACACTTAACAACAATCTAACAGTTATAATTATTATTATGTTAATAATATAATAATAAGGTCTTATTCAAGGATGAAGACCTCGGTCACTGTCTTCAAGGTACTTGCAATCAGAGGGAAGGCAGTCGGTGGGGCGATGCAAACAAACAAACATACAAATAATTGCTTGTATTATAAGCAAGCCATTTGTGCCTCAGGTGCCCCCGTGACCTGCTCTGGTTCTGAGGTGTGTGTTCTGATGGGACAGTGCCTGGGTTGTGCTGGTTAGGCAATATTTTGGATACCACAGCAGGGACCTCTCCATACCGCCTTTAAAGCTCCTATAGCGTGGCAGAGGGACGATTCCTCAAGGGACAATCTGAGAATTGTTAGAAGAACAGAAGGGGAACTGGGAGCTGGAGAGGCTAGTAATTAACAAATATCAGTAACAGAAACCAGCAAAGGCTTTTAAAGCTCCCCCTTGTTGCATTGGAGAGGATTGGAGGGGATCGGAGGGAAGGGATGGTTGCTGGTGACCAGAGCAGACAAGGTGGCAGTTTGTATGAAGGACTGGATTGGCAGTCCAAGTGAAAACAGATAGATTTGAATGTTGTTTAGGATGTAACATCAAGGGACATATGCAGCAATTAACTATATACCAGGGGGCTTCCAAATGTTTGTGAAAAAATTCCATTATCTTTTAATTTCATGTTTTCATGAACTTTTTTGAAGACCCTTTGTATGATGGGGTAAAGTTTCTGTTTGAGAAACTGGGTGAATGAGAGAGACAGGTATCATCTAACTGGGTCGGTCTAGGGAGGTTTTACAGAGGTGGAGTGAGGTATCTGAGGTGAGTGTTTAAGGGTGAGAGAACTTTTTCAATCAGAAGGGATATTCACATACCTGTACTGTTCAGAAAGAAAGGCCACACGTATACTGAGTTGTTGTTGTTTGTTGTTATGTGCTGTCGAGTCAGTTTTGATTCACAGCGACCCTTACAGGGTTTCCAAGTAGCGGCTGGTGGGTTTGAACCATCGACTTTGCAGTTAGCAGTCCAGTGCTTATTTACAGCATCACACCAAGACTCCTTATACTAAATATGTTCATGATATTTACTAGAAACCCGATCGTCTAGGCTATGGTGTCTTTCTAATGGGTGTCTCCTTTCCTGTCCTTACAGAAGCGTTTGCTAAAAGGAAGAAGACGTCCCTTTGGTTTGCTGTCTCTCTCCTAATCGTGTCCATCTTCATACTGACCATAGGCCTTGCTGCAACGACCAGAACTGAGAATGTGACCGTGGGAGGCTATTACCCAGGAATCATTGTGAGTGGGGCGTCTTCTGTGAGGTGCTGGGGCAGGAGGGGGAAGGACAGTATAGATACTCTCAACTCCAGCTCAGCAGAGTTGGAGATCTAAGGCAAGGCATTGAAACTTTTGTTTATGTTTATGGTGGTGGTGGTTGTTAAATGCCGTCAAGGTGGTTCCGACCCATAGTGACCCTGTATAGAGTTTCTAAGGAGTGACTTGTGAGCCTGAACCACCAACCTTGTGGTTCAAACTGACTTTGCAGTCCAAAGCATTAACCCACAGCGCCACACCAGGACTCCTGTGTTTATGGTTGTTGTTGTTGTTAGGTGCCATCGAGTCGGTACCAACCCATAGCGACCTTATGCACAGCAGAACGAAACACTGC